GCAGCAGCAGCAGCAGCAGCAGCAGCAGCAGCAGCAGCAGCAGCAGCAGCAGCAGCAGCAATAGCAATCCTGGAGAACATGGGGATGTCCATGGTTGGGGCAGCCACTGAGAAACATGTGGATGTCCAGGGGCTGAGCTGTCCCCGATCCTCACTGGGGGCAGAACTTGGGAGAGCAGGCCCTTTGCTTTATCTAAGCAGTACAGTGGAGCTGGCCCTGGTGGCAGGGGTGTAGGTGAGCCAGCCCCAAGAATGTGAGAGTAGGAGAGCTGACTCCAGCAGTTGGGAAAGCTGACCACAGGTCATAAGTGTGGGAGAGCTAGGCTTGCTCCTCACCAGCTGCAGCATTTGAGGGAGTGGGCCCTGCACCTTGCCTGGACAGCAGTAGTGCTGGTCCTGGTCAAGGGGGTGTGGGCATGTGCATGCACATGTGTGTGCATGTGATGCCTTCTTCCTCTTGCTCTTCGCCACCTTCAGCAGTTGGGGCAGCTGGCCCTGGGATGGTGAGAGTGTGTGAGTTGGCCCAAATTGTGAGGGCATGGGTGAGCCAGCCCTATGGGTGTGAGATCGGGAGAGCTGACCTAGCCCCTCTCAGGCTGTAGCACTTGGGAAAGTGGGCCCTGTACCTTGACTAGGTAGCACAGTGGAGCTGGCTCTGGAGGCATGGGTGAGGGTGAGTTGCCCTGAAGACATGAGAATGGGAGAGCTCACTATGGTGGCAATGGGTGGCCTGACTGGATCAGTGCTGAAGAGCTTGCCCTGGTGGTACAGAGAGGGGAGAGCAACCAGCAGGTTGACCAGCTCAGCTACAGCCTGGCTCAGATGCAGGGCTCTGAGTTGGTTCACTCCAAAATCTATATCATCTGAGAACAGTTGGGACAAGTGAAAAGGCCAGTCCTGCTGATTGAACCAAAGCTGCAGAAATCACCATGACACAGGGCAACAACAGGGTAACCAGCCCTGGTGAGGATCCAATGTTGATGGTGTCACAGAAGCCAGAGACCTTGAACCAGACCAATAACTCATTGTAATGAACATTTGCAAGTGAAGCTGTGTGGACAGAGGGGTATATACTATGGGGACACACTGTGACATACAGCTTCCACGATGAGATGTTTTCTATGCTTTGGGTTTTGTGTGTGTGTGTGTATGTTTTATTTTGGGGGGAGGTTGCAGGAGCAAAGGGCCGGATATGAGATGATAGGGAGATGAGCAGGACTGGGGGTGTGATATGAGACTTACAAAGTATCAGTAAAAAGTTTAAAAAATTATTCCATGGAATTGGAAAAAAAGATGGTGGAAAGAAGCAGAACTAAGCAGCCACCTGGGTGATTGATATGGGTTATGGGAGCATGGCTTCAGGGGACAAAGAGGCATGTCATTGCCTGCTGAGAGGCCCAGGCTACCACCAGCTGCTGCTATTGTCACCTGGTTGCTGGCCTGTTGACCCTTCTGGGGTTAGAGAGTGAGGCCCCAAAGTGCTGATCATGGGATGGGAGCACAGTGGTCTTGCCCAGGGGGCCAGTGAGGTGTCTGGAGGTGAGGGCAGGTAGGTGTGCAGAAGCCTGGAGCGCTCATGAATCTTGCCCCCAGCCTCTCAAAGTACTGCCCAGCTGCAAGATCACTCTGACTCTGGAAAACACAGAATATCCACAGATGAGATAGTCTAGAGATAGTCTAGTATTTATATTGCTTTAGAAACCTTGAACCAGACCAATGACTCGTTGCAAAAAGTATTTGCATGTAAAGCTGTTTGGGAAAAAAAATTACTATGTGACACTCAGCAGTTTGCTATGCCACTTTAATAAATGAATGTGTGATAGATAGTAGAGTGGGTGGCAGAGCAGCATGACTGCTTGTGGCAGAGGAAGTGACAGGTATGGGAAGGTGGTGGCGGGCAAAGGAGCATGTTATTGCCAAGTATTGCAGAGTGGTTCTCTGAGCCACAAGATACCTGAGATGAAGCTTCTTTCGCAGTAGTATCGATGACTGCAGACTCATAATTGAGAATTAGAGACATAGAAGGCTTCTGTGACAACCCCCCCCCCCAAAAAAAAAAAAAAAGGAACAGTCCAGACAGGAAGCTATTGAGAGTTCTTAAAAATTGTGATAGAGATGCTGAAGTGTAGCTCTTTACAACTGACAGCTCCTGGTGGGAGTGGGAGATGGGCAAGGACTCATTTGTCTTTAAGGGACATCCTCCATTGAGTGTATAGGCAATATAAACTGGACTTGGTGTTTTGATTTTTTTGAGAGGAGGAGGACTCAAGCCTGGGAGGCTGGACCTGGGAGGAATTAGTGAGTGTGATTGGGGTGCATTGTATGAAATTTCTAAATAATTACAAAAAATACTGTATGTTTGGAGGAAAAGAGTGAACCGAACCACATACCTTTAAATGTAAAAAAAAAATATTAAAAGTGTACCATTATATAGGAAACCCCCCTCATTTTGGTAGTATATTTGTTGTGTTGTGTTATGCTGTGTTTGTTTGGTGTATGTGCTGGCTAGTGTAAGTATGAGACAGATGTCAGTTGTCTCCATCACTCCACCTTTATTTTTTGAGACAGAGCCACTCACAAACTGTAAGCTTGATTTGACAGAGGAGAACCTCAGGGATTCGTCTATCTCTGTCCCTCTGTTCCTACCCAGCTAATGCTGGGGTTGCAATCTTGGAGCCTGGCTTTTGTTTGTTTGTTCTTTCAAGACAGGGTTTCTCTGTGTAGACTAGGCTGGCCTTGAACTCAGAAATTGGCCTACCTCTGTCTCCCAAGTGCTGGGATTAAAAGCATGTATCGCCAAGCCTAGCTGAAGCCTGGCTTTTTATGTGGGTTTTGGGAATTAGAACTCATTTCATCATGCTTGTGTAGCAGGCACTTTGCCAGTTAAGCCAGCTTCCCAGGCCACCTTTTAATAAAATCTAAAACCATAGACTTCAGAAGGAAAGCTAATTATTTATTTATCTACATTATTATTTTTTCATGATTTTCTCTGGTTTCTGCTTGTATTGTTTCTCTTTTGTTTAGAGAAGCTCCCTTAGCAACTCTATTAGACTAGGTCTGCTCTCAACAAGCTCTGCTGTCTTTCAAAGGATATTTTCATGTGTGTTGCTTCTGACTTGTTTTTCTTCGGCATTTTATAAGGATTCTACTTCCTTTTGACTCAGTAATTTTTAATGAGAAATTTATCGTTCAGGTGATTTCTCCCTAGAGTATGATTTTCTTCCAGCTGTTTCATACTTTTCTCTTTGTTTATGCTTGTTTCAGTCAGAGTTTCTATTGCTGTGATGAAAACACCATGACCAAAAGCAAATTGGGGAGGAACGGGTTTCTTTGGCCTACACTTGCAGATCATAGTCTATCATTGGAGAAAACAGGACAGGAACTCAAGCAGGCAGGAACCTGGAAACAGGAGCTGGTGCAGGAGCTATGGAGGGTGCTGTTTTCTGGCTTGTTCCTCATGGCTTGCTGCTCAGCCTGCTTTCTGTAGAACCCAGGACCACCAGCTCAAGGATGGCACCACCCACCATGGGCTAGGCCCTCGGCCTTTGATTAGTAAGTGAGAAAATGCCTTACAACTGGATCCCATGGAGGCATTTTCTCATTTGAGGTTCCTTCCTCTCTAATGACTCTAACTTGAGTCAAGTTGACACACAAAAGTAGCCAGTACATGCTTTTCCAGAAATTTTATTGTTATATATCTTTCATGTATTTTTTAAAGTTTTCTTTTGTTTGACATTCACGTACCTTCTTGGATTTATAGGTTTGTTGGTCTTTGGTACATTTGGAGAAAGTAACTGCTTGTTCTAGAACCATATCAGCTTGTCTTGTTGCTTTCTTTTGAAATTGTGATGATGTGGACTTTGGATCTTTTTGTTATAATTCTACAGGTTCTTGAGACTATGGTTTTCAATTTTCTCGGTTGATTATATTGAATGTTTTTATCCTGTGTTCCAACTCAGTTTCCTTTCTCTTTCTCTCTCTCTTTCTCTGTCTTTTCTTCTTCTTTTTTTTTTTTTTTCCCCCAGTTTTAAAAGTTCCTGCCAACCCCCAAGACAGGGTCTCATTATGTAGCTCTGGCTGTCCAGGAATGCACTATATCAGAGGTTCTCAACCTCTGGGTCTCGACCTCTTTGGGTGGTCAAATGACCCTTTCACACAAAAAACACAGATATTTACAATTCATAACAGCAGCAACATTATGGTTATGAAGTAGCAACTAAAATAATTTTATGGTTGAGGGGGTAACCACATGAGGACCTGTATTAAAGGGTCCAAGCATTAGGAAGGTTGAGAACCACTGCTCTATGTAGACCAGGCTGGCCTCAAACTCACTGTCTGTCCTTGCCTCCTGCCTGCTGGGATTAAAGGCATGTGCCACTTTACCCAGCTCCTTTTGATTTAAAAAAATAAAACAAAACAAAAAAAAAAACACAAAAAAAATTTTTTTTCAATGCTGAGGGCGTAATTTTTTTAATTATTTTAAGGATATTTGTAATTGCACATAGAATATTATTTTAGCATGTATGTTTAAAAGTCTTTATTTTTTAAATTTGAGACAGGATCTTACAATGTAGTCCTGGAAGGCTTGGAACACACTATG